TTTTCTTTCCGTTAACTTGTTTATGGAGCGCCGCGCCACACTTCTGTTTTAAATCTGTTAGCTTAATTATTTAAGTCAGATATATTTCGCTTTTTTTTTTTTGATGAAAACAAATTGTTATTTTTATTTAGTCCTATTGCTTACATAGGCTATACGTTTTCCTTAAAGCATCCCATTTTGTCCCAGGGCTTGAAAACCTGTGGCTAGGCTAGTTAGGTCCTGCAGAAACTTGTGAACGATGCTCTTAGTTGTGGCATCACCGTTTAGTGACATCATTGAATGCTCCGGGAAAACGTAGTGTCAGTGTCTGTCACAGCGCCTTTTAATTGCTGTTTTGAATCCAGTAATTATTTATTTACAAATTATAAGCTAAGATTATGACAAGTTTGGTATAAAAGCTTTGTTTATTAGAGGAATAATTGGTTAGCTGGAAAATGTTACATCGCGACCATGCTTTTGGATGCCGTTTGAGCCCATATAGCCTACATTTATGCGGCTTTGTTCTTGGTCACGAATTTCCACAAATTCAATAATATTTAGGCATTGTTTCTTTTCCTAAATCCTCACCGTCTAGCCCTCTAATTTCGCAGGTTTATTTTATTGTCTTCACTTTTTATCACTGTTTTCGCATCTAAGGGAAATGAAAGATTTCATGGCCATGAATTAAGAATTCGTTCTATGTTTTAATTTTTTCCTCATTTTAGTTAAATCATGGGTTATTTAAGGAACAAAATTAATGAAACATGGACAGTGGCCACAAATTAATAAGTCGTAGGAACGAATTAACAAGTTGTAGGAATGAATGCTTCCCCCGCAGCCCTGCAACCTTCACCTAATTGTTTCAAATATGAAACAATTATCTGGGGAAATGACTGTTACTACATTTCTATTGCATTCCATGTTGAAGAACTGTGTTGTTTCTATTTTAATGTACTTTTTAAAGTTTAAATCACATTAAAAGCTTAATTTGTACATTATGAATGAATGATGATGCATTTATATACCGTCACCGTCACTCACAGCCGCTCGCACGTGTTTTGCGCATGAGCCGCACGCAGCCCAAAATTAAACGACTTAATCGACCATGATAGCTTTAATCGATTGCACCTCTTATCGACAATTAATCGATCATCGATTAATCGTTGACATCCCTAGTTGTCATGAATTATGTCTGTGCCAGTTTAACGCACCATAATTACAGTTACTAATTAATGGTAATTAATCTGGAAAGTGTGTGTGATGCTTCTAAACAAGAGTCAATTAGCCGGTCATTCACTATTGTTTCTTATCCAAGACTGATTGCATATTAGATATTTTATGTATAAGTTAAAATGAGTGCATGATAAGATAATCAGACAGTTTGATGGCCTTGTGTTGGAGGCCGTGCCTTGAAAATGTGTGCGGTACCATCCTTGAGCTCAGTTAAAGCTGCATCCATGGCTCTTAGAAGTCTTTGGAGTTCTCTATCAAAGCCCAGCAGAGAGAATTCACCATAATTACAGCTCTCCTAGTGAATATGTGAGGGTATCACGTCATCACAAATTCTTCTTAATGATCTTACCAGATCACAACACTCCCCCATCACATAGCTTTTAATGAATTACACAGAAATCTCAATGCAGTTTGTTTCATCATCTTAGAGTAACAGTGATTTTTTCCTTCTTTCCCAGGAAAAGATTTCCTCAGTGACTCTGGAAAACTCAATGCAGTTGGTAGGTGGGAGGCGTCTGTATACTTTGGCACAAGACGCTGCCGTTTGTGTTCACATTGTTAGACTGTTTCTCCTGATCGCAGGCAAGGAGTGACTAATGTGGTTGAGTACTTAAATGTATAGAAAAACATTTAACGTCTTTTTGTTCTGTTTTGCTCACTGTTAGCACATTTCTGAATAATGCACTCCTTTTGTTTTATCTCCGAATCATTTATGCTTTCGGAGTCACATTTTAAGCCACAGTTTATCATGCTACGCTCCACCCTAAAGCCTAGATTCCTTTCAGAGTTCACTCAGTAACTGATGGTGACGCAGACAGATGTTTTCTCATTCTCACTGACTCATGCTCACGTCTGTACTCTTGTATATTCATTCACAGTGCTTGAGCTGAGTATCACTGAGACTCAACTGTGTGTCAGTGTGGAAGCCAACACAGTCAGACTTCCTCCAGCTGTGGTAAGAATTCAAACACCTCCAGCCTGCGTTCACAATCTCCGTTCTAGCCTCTTATGACCTATGAACCAGTTTACTGCTGTTGTCATGCATTACACATTTGCCTCAGTTCAAGCCCTTTGCCTTAGTCAGTTATCTACCTTACGTCAACCTGATTGTGCTGAATGAACAGGAGAAGAAAAAGCTTTTCTCTTCGTTGTTTGTTACTTTAAATGACTAGTTGTGCCCAAGTGTGCTTGTTATTTATATTCATAACAACAACTAAGATTATTTAAAAATTAATGTAAATTTTTTAGTATCTAACAAATTATTAAAATGAAATAATAACAAATGAATAATAAAATTATTAAAATAGTATGCATATATAAATATTTATATATGCATATATACATGTGCATAAAAATGATTTTGAGTAGTCATTATTCATAATTGATTTATGATGTATACACAAATGTAATGAATATACTAAAATACACGTAATACATCTATAATGTAAGTTAAATATTATTTAAACTATTTGCATATACAAATCTAAATAAATCATATCAAATATCAACTAATTATATGTATATGTCAGTATATTAATTACAAATATATTCATTTTTAAATATATAATAATACATTTCTACTATCTACATATACAACTATGATACATCGAACATATATTTGCATAAAAACATTTGGTAAGTATTTATTTTGTTTTAACAAATAACAAATTTTTGAAATAATAATTGACATAAAATGAGACCAGTTATTCACAGTAAGACATGAAGTAGTCAAAGTTTGTATTGGATTGCAATATTTCTTGTTCCTGTTTCAGTGTGAGGTATTAATTCATGCTCGGCTGTCTTCTGCCAGATAAAGGATTTTGATATTCCTGCTCCTGTGGTGAAAAACTTCCTCTGCACTGATGATGCTGTGTTGCATACAGTGATGCCAAATAACTGGTGCCACATTCTGCCAAGGTGTGTGTTTGTATGCATGTTCAATCAGACTGCTTTATACTTTGTTCTTACACTTTCTAGAGCTGTACTGTTGCTCTGATGTACTGATGGGCATCATGGAGGGAAAAGGTCCTATTTGTAATCTCCTTTGTTGGCAGTGTTGGATTTAGACACATTGAATTACTTCTCCTGCATTGTTTTTGTTTGTGTGTGTGAGAGCAGTATGAAGAAAGGCCAAATCATTAGCATCAGTCGCAGGATTCCACAGGAAAGCCCGTTCCAATCTTATATGGAGTTTCAAAAGCACTGGAGCAACATGGTAAACACTACCACCTGAAGAAAATAATAGCGCACAGCTCTCCTCAATAAGCCTCATGATTTGTTTCATGCCTATAGCACAAGTGGTGTTCAGACTTTGTGCCACATTTTAAAGGAATAGTTCACCCAAAAAATTAACATTTGCTCAAGATTTACGCACACTCAGGCCTTCCAAGATGTAGATGAGTTTGTTTCTTCATCAGAACAGATTAAATATAGCATTGCATCACTTGATCCTCTGCAGTGAATGGGTGCCGTCAGAATGAGAGTCCAAACAGCTGATGAAAACATCACCATAATCCACAAGTAATCCACACCACTCCAGTCCATCAGTTAATGACTTGTCAAGTGAAAAGATGCATGTTAGTCATAAATCCATCAAGGTGTTTCCTATTAAAGGCAGAATAAGTGATTTTTCAAAAACACTTTAGAAAACTGATTCGGGCCGAATCGCAAAACAAACTTGTAGCCAATCAGCAGTAAGGGGCGTGTCTACTCGTGATGTGGAGGAGAGCGCGTTCAGTGCATGGGACGGACATTAGCCGAGCGACAGAAAGATAGAGATGGTGGATAAAAAACAAAAGAGGAAAACGTCTGCGGAACAAAAGAAGGCTTCAGGCAAGAAGTAGGACCCGTGTAAATATCGGATCAGCTTTCCAGCGCTGGAGAGAACTCAAGGAGCGGAGGCCTGCGATCGGACGCCGAGGTTGCTTTGTTTCTTCTCAATAGGTGAGTAACGTGAGTAACACAACAGCTAAAGTCTGCCTACACTGGACGCGATCAAACGACGTTGAAAACCATTTGAAATATTTGAAATTACGTCATAAATAGAACCCGGCAGCAATTTTCTGTCGGGGATTTGTTGCGCCACGCCGCTCACGTCCGTAGACACGGTGTAACATTGGTTTTGCTTTGTTTCACAGAACTAATCGTTGCCTGGGTTGCGTACGTATATGTGGGGCGGAGCTATCAAAATAGGGGCAAGACCCTTTTGGGGTAGAGGCGTGTTTGTTTTGGTGATTTCAAATATAAACATTGGCTACCAGAAATCACTTACTCTGCCTTTAAAACCGCTCTGGAGAATTAGCTTGGGACCTTTTCATTAGATCTTTTTGGAGGGTTCTGTGAATATTTGAACCAAAACGCTTAGAGGAATGAATAGTTAACTTGACTGCCGATTTCAGCTTTCCTTCCAAAGAGATTTCTCTTAATTTAAGAGACTTGAAAAGCAAGAATCAGATTGTCTTGTGTGATTATTCAAGGATGTTGTACATTACAAAATTGTGCTAGCGTATATTCCTTCACCTGTCAGAATGTGTTGTCATTGACTAGAGCCATCTTTTTATTCATCTATCATCTTTTGCCACTAGACCTTTTCCTGCACTCTTTTGTTCTGCTTTTTGACCACTAGTCCTGCTACTGCAAAATCTTGCTCTAATTTTTAATTAAATATGACTTGAACTGTTTCTTTTAAGAGGATTCATATGCAGTTTTGACAACTTTATCAGTACAAAAAAAATTACAACCAATTCTTCTGTAAATTTCAAAACCAGCAGTAATGCTGCCAATAAAGTTGATTCTGTTTTTGTTTTTTTTTGTCTTTGTAATGTTTGTTTGTTTGTTTTTGCGGTCGTGTCAAACCTGTGTACGAGAAGATAGAAGAGATATTGGTTTTGTGTCAATAAATTCAGGTTTACTGTGTCCACCCACCCTTGTATGTCTTTTGAAGCATTAAAACTTTCCTGTATGCATGAAATTGTTAAGCTTTCTCTTGATGTTTCTTCCCACAGCCACATTTTTTTTCTCAGCCGTATGATACATCCTCTCAGTGCTCCGATGAAAACAGGCCTGTCCTTCATTGTGAAATGGAGAGAGAGCGATGTTTGTTGTAACTCTCTACCAAAGCCCATGTTCTTTGTAGTATATTTATTGTATTATTTAAAAATAATAAATGTTAATTGATACCAGTAGTGTTCTTGATATCTGATAAATATATATCAGATATACATCTTTATATCTGATAACTGTTATCACTGTGCTATATTATGTAGAGATGCAGAAGAGGAGGTGCATAGACATGTGAAATACTCAAGTGAAATGAAATTTTAAAGGGGTCATATGATGCTTTTTTAAAGATCATTATTTTGTGTATTTGGTGTAACAGAATATGTTGACATGCTTTAATGTTAAAAAAAAAAACATTATTTTTTCAAATACTGTACATTATTGTAGGTCCTCTATGCCCCGCCTCTCTCAAA